GAGTCAGTATAATTGTAGGACTAGGGTTAAAAGAAATGCCTAGTTTCCGATTATAAACCAGAATATAGGAGTATTCACAGACCCTAACAATGCAGAAGTGATGTATAGTCTGAGAAAGTATAGTATTCTGATTTCCTCATCTTTTATAGATGAGGGAAGAAGATACCATTTAAAGATGATGAATAAAATAGGGAAATGAGATATTCAAAGAGTCAAAAAGTTAATGGGTAAAATAACGTAAGTATAATAAGGTGAGGAGGGAAAGAAGGCAGAGGGAGAAGAAGTAAAAATTAAATAATTTGGTCAATGGTCATTTGTGAATAAAAATCTAAATAAGTAATACATACATCAAGTGAAGTTTAATTATAAAGGTAATTAGAACAATATAGAAACATTTTATATTTCAGTGGAATGCAAATAGTAAATGTATGGTGAGAGAAGAAAAAAGAAATGATTTACTTATTTTAAATTAAAATTTATTTTTTTATTAATGATAGTCTAGGAAGCTTTCTTTCATCTTTAAAACTTACTTGCAATTTTATGAAAAATTTCAGCGTTGTCTTAAAATTTAAGAAAACTTCTGTCAAGCTTCTTGCATATGGGACCTGAAGGATTTAGAAGAATTTTCCAGAGATTAACTCTGGCTCTGTACACTTGAAACCTTGCTTAAGAGGAAACTAAATAGCTATATCTGTACTGATATATGATGATGTTCAAGATATATTGTTAAATAGAAAGAAGTTGCAAAATAACATGCAAAATTATATGTATGTGTTTGCTCATCAATATTCTTAATGTGTATGCTTGTGTATTAAGAGAATAGCGCTTATTTCTCTTAAATGATGGTCTGCTACATAACAGCGATCTCAAGAGTGGCACCATGTAGCCATAGTCATTGTTTTTATATTATGACCTTTTCTCTCTATTAAATCAATATTTTTCATTAACCTCACATGCTTAACATAAAACTATATCAAATAAGGCTATAGTACAGTATGTAGTACCCGTATGTGAGTAGTTTATAATCAGGCTAAGAATATAAAACGGGCAAAACTGGAGAATGATACAGGATGCAAATCAGTGCTCAGTTACGTTACATGCATCCTCTATGAAACCTTCTCAGATTATTGCAACCTTTGGCAGTAGGTTTGACTTTTCACAGCCATTTTAGGCTGTGACATATTTTAACATTATGTTATTTCTTTATCATTTTCTAATAGTTCAATATATGATAGTCTTTCTTTATGGAAGAGATGAGACTGATGGCCCTCTTGACTCTAAATCCAATTATTTAACACAGTCATATGAAGCAAAATGACTAGGTACTTCTAGTTAATAACAAAGCACCAATTATTCTTAGAACACCTGCTCATATCTATTGGGTGTCCATACATGATGGATGAGAAACTGAGGTACAGAGAGGTTAATTATTTTGTGCCAAATGGAAAACTAGTAAGAGCCAAAACTCGGAAGTCAGCCAGGCAGCCTGACTCCAGAGCTGGTGCCTGGAACAGTCCACTAGGTGTGTGACCCTGATGGGTTATTTCATCTTGCTGATTTCTCTTTCTCCATTGGTGGACGGTGGAAAATAATGACTCACTTTATAAAGTTGCTATGACAATTGTTTAAAAAAGTATCTCCAGGAGCTTTGTAATCCATGAAGTTCTCCAACAAATGTAAGATATTACTGTTGTCACGGCTGCTTTTGTGCTGCCTTTTTTGCCCCCACGTCACATCAGCTCAGCTCACGGGAGAGCAAAGTTTCCACTTAGATTCTTGTAGAGATAAATTGCTTTTACAATCACTTACTGACTTTTAAATCTCAACATTCATGTTCTCGCTCAGATTGCACAATACCCATGCCCTAGAATAGCTTATATTTTACTGAGAAAGACTACCTGACAAGGCATAATGTGATAAGGCTGTAATGAAGTTCAGAGTTTTGTGCAAAGACCTCCTAGGGAGGAAAGGGAAAGGCAAGGACTGTGGCACTCAAAGAGTTAAATTTCTCCCAGCTTAGAAGGAAAGACCTGCGATTTTGAATTCTAATAATCTCCCTGTGGGAGAAGCATCAACAAGTTTCGTATTGTATTTATGCTACACAGCAACCTTTGTGCATGGTCTTTAGTCCTGCCTTTCCTGCATCTTTTCCCACAAAGACTGTCCTTGACCAACACCAGAAATGAATTTGATTTCTCTAATGTGGAAGGTAATTGGATTTTTCTTTATTGAATGCATCCCTTTAATGACTGTCTCTGTTCCTGCCAGTTTAGCTGCAAGTGACCTGACATTGATCTGTTGATATGACTTAAAATAAAGAGTTGGAGCTGGGGGTGAAAAGGATCAGCTGTCTGGCATCAGGAAAAAAAATGTGCATTTTTTTTTTGCCTCATCTTGCCATTTTCCTGAGAAAATCCTATATCCTTGAATGTCATTTCTACAAAACATGCTGCTTTAATAATTGGTCATACAGCAACAGATTGCCTTCTTCTAGAAAATATAATAAGTATTTCCCAGAAAGTGCCCTGGGGAAAACATTGAAAATTGAATAAAATCCACCCCGTAATCATTCTGTTCCTTGGAAATATTTATTACCATGTAGACTGTTTCTGGAACCGGGTAAATATTGCTGAACAGAATTAATTAAATCTTTTAGGAAGCTGGTAAAACATGAAATATTTATTTAAGTATTTATTTACTTAACCTTGAGGTTTCATAAAAATAAAATTTGGCACAAGAGTGGCTATTCAAGAAAGTTACAAAGGAGTAGTGGATTAAATTGTTGTTTGGAAGAATAACAATTCCTTCCTCAAGGGAAGGTGTGATATAAAACACTTTTTATGCCCAAGAATATATGGAATTTAAATTTTTCTACTTTTGCCTTTATTCACTTTTTAGTAACAATGTAACTCACTTGATTCATGCTTAAATTTTATTGTATCATCTTCCCTTTGTTAATTCTAACAAATAATGGATTTTCTTTGATCAAAGATACAATGCATGGGCATTAGAGTGAGAAAATAAACACTTGCAATTTTAAATTGTGAAGTAGAAAATAGATGAGAAAATCATAAATGAATTTCTTCCTAAAAATCAGTGAAATCGATGTTTTTCCCTTTTGAATTTTTAATGTTAATTGTACTCACAATTATCAATGTAATTAACAATTTCAAGAAATTAACTGAGAGTTTGTATTAAAACCATTTATGACATTTGTTGAATTTGAAATTCAAAGCCACATCACACAAAATTATTGTAAGCCCTATGTTAGAGCTGGTATAAACCCGCAGTGTTACTCAGTGAAGAGCAATGAACTTCCTTCGGTTCTCATCAACCAAGAGAAACTTGGGAGTTCTAGTCTAAGACATTATGTTGGGAAAGAATATAAAGAAGAATTAAGAGTGAGTATTTCCTGGAGACTGGGCTCCTTAACCTCTGCTCAGATTGCATTTTGAATGAGCATGTGAAGCCCTGGCATGTTTCCAGAGACAATTTCTGGGCTGCAGTGTAACACAACAGGATGGGTTTGCTTGAGAATTGATGTGCCTTCCACAGAAAGTCCAGTACGATTGAAGGGGTCATTGATCCAGAAAGACTCCCCACTGAATAAAAATCTTTCATCATAAATGATTAAATCTCACCCATTCCAAGTCAGGCCATTGTTGGAAGTTATACTTAAGTGCGATATTAACACCTTAAGAGCAAGAGAGAAGTATATTTTAATGGATGATGAAAATTCTTCCTTACTCAATTCAACATATCTCATTCTGTATAAATTTTCTTAATTTTGAATTGGCTTTGTTTGTTTGAATGTGAACATTATTAAATGCAAAGCCAATTAATGAAATAATATTTTCTTCTCTTGAAGAGAAGGTAGATTTTCTGGAAAAAGGAAAGAGTTTGTGTATGAGTGTGTGTACACACATACAAATACGTTTTCCTTTATTAGAAGAAAGAAGCAAATTCATTCCCCATCCCATCAGACTTTTAAAAATGCTTTTATAATAGGTTACCTATTTATGATACTTTGGACATTTTCTGAAACCGTTAATACGGGATGTGGCCAATGAGCAATTTATTTTGTTTATGTATTTTTAAAAACAATCATTTAAGTGATTTATATAAAACCATTTTGTCATTTCTTCTTTAAGCAAATATTTTGAAGTCTTTTATATAAAAGAACCTTAGGCACTGAAAGGGATATAGGGACAAATCTTTACCTTCAAGGATTTTAAAGCCTAGTGGAGAGAGAACAAATGTACCCAGTGGATAAAATAGAAAGTGGAAAGCAGTGAGCCACCTAAGAGGGATGGATCCAGAGCTTATGGTTGAGGGGGATAGCAAAGACGTCACAGTGTGTGATGGTGATGTGACTTTGCTTAGACCGCAGAAGGTGGGCAGAATCTGTGCACGTGAGAAAGAGAGGTAGAATATTTTTGGAAGAAGACATAGAACTGCAAATGACACGGAGGTGGGAGAATGTAGGCTATTAAAATAAATATTCTATAAAACTGGGTCAAGTCCCATACCTCACACATCATAGAAAGAAAAAATGGAGAGAAGGGAAGGTAATATTTTGACTAGTGATTTAGGTAAAAATCTAGACAGAGAAAGAAATATTTGGATTTTGGAATTTCTGATTTAGACAATAAACACCAGTAACTATGGTATTTTATTTATTATGTATGTTTTGTTTCTATGAGGAGGTTAATAGTACCTTAAAGAGGCCTTCTTATATAAGGTAATCTTGACTGATGTTTTAAAAAAAAAATCTCAGTAGTTGACATGTTGAACAACCCTAAGTAAGCTCATTCATTGTGTAAAGTCAAATGAACTACTAAAATTTTTAATTGAAAGAAGTATATTCTTCTTAATTTTATCTCTGCATATATTCTAGCATTAATACGTATTTTATTCTCGATAAAGTGCAAATTATATAAATATTTAAACCTAAATGTAAGATTTCTGAAAGTCTAAATAAGTTCCTTTTGTTGCTTCAGGTCACTGATATGATGCTTCAGGACAAACCCTATCCTGATTGGGGAAAATCTGCAAGAGCTTTCTGGAAGAAAGGAAATGTTAGGATCATTTTATTCTGGTAAGAGATTATTTCATTTATTGATTTTTGCCTTGCATCATTCACAAAGGACTTGAGTTGGATGTAGTTTTTTTTTTTAAGATACATAGAATTCTATGTAGAGAGGCATTTCCAGTGAATACTGTGTTTCATTAAGATGATTAAAATCATTACCCTAATTATTTTATGAATTACTTTCTGCTTACACATTGTTGCATATACACATTTACAAGAGATATATTTGCTAATATAGTAATACATATTTTACCAGAGGTAAGAAGGTTTTTGATTCAGCAAAAACAAGCTATAATTTTCATCAATGAAATCTGCTATAAAAATGTCTCCAATAAATTCTAAATTTCCAGTATATTTGACAGGATATAATTTTGCCTTGAAGAAGTTATACAGAGAGGAAACCTGTTTACAAATTGCATCTGGCTCATTGGCATTTCTTCTTTAGTGATTTCCCTTAGCTCTCCAGCGCAATCATTGCAATTAAAAAATAATCCATGTCTTATAGAACTTTATCGAGTCACCAGTATTTTTGTGTATTTGAACAAGTTTAAAAGATTTTATTTATTTATTTGACAGAGAGAGACACAGCAAGAGAGGAAACATAAGCAGGGGGAGTGGGAGAGGGAGAAACAGGCTTCCCGCCGAGCAGGGAGCCCAATGCGGGGCTCAATCCCAGGACCCGGGGATCATGACCTGAGCCGAAGGCAGACGCTTAACGACTGAGCCACCCAGGTGCCCTGTATTTGAACAAGTTTAGACAGAAAAGATAGGAATAAAGAGCCAGCAAGAAGGGCACTTCTGCCTGGCTGTGTGACACTGCCCAACCACAGAGTCAAACAGATATATGAAAATGTGCATGCACTAACACCCAGAGGTGCTGGGGTTGATGATAACTTGTGCTGGGTACATCCCATCCTGCTCCCCTACCTTTTGAAATGATAGAAAAAAAATTTTGTGTGTTCTTGGATTCAATTCTGGGGGTTGGTTTCTTTTTTCCTGTACAAGCTACAAAAATCAGGGGGCAAAATATACACTATAAGCTATCTTTGTGCTTTAACACTGTAATTAAATGTTGGTAGAGATATATGGCATTTTGAACTGAATTCTTAGAAGGTAAACAAAAGTAGATTTCAAATAGTGTTGTAAAAATGAATATGATTTTGTGGATGTTTATCTTGTCTCTATGAGTCAAGTGTGGCCTATTTTTATGGTGCATTTAACCTTTATTTTTTTTTTCCTGCATGTCAGCTCCTCATGTAGTTTGTCTGAATAATATACAATATATAGAAAATATTTTTTGAGGGTATGTTTTGCTCCAGGTGCTATGCTAAGTATTTAACATTCTATTTATTTACTTATTTAATCCTGACAACCCTACAATGTAGGCACTATTATTGTGAGCATAGGTCTCTGACTCTAGAAACCCAGTGTTTAGTCATTACACTAGACTATTTCTAGGAGAACAAAGGATATATCAGTGTGCAAATTTCCAAATGATTATCCTTAATCCCTTTTTAGGCAATGGTGCTATATTAAGAATACAAGATTCTGGGGAGTCATTCCACCCTATAGAATTCTCTACAGAGGTTTTAGGAATCAAAATTTAAAAAAAAGGTAGAGGCTAATATTAAAAGCGTTTATGGACTATCTTAAAACAATATTAATTTACTATGATTATATGAATTTTATATTATTTAATGCATCTTCAAAGGCAGCCTGCTGATTATTGTTCAGTGTGGCCAGTTACTCAGGTCACATGTATACTATTTGCAAAAGAGCCATGCATATAGTAATCTGAAGGCCCCTCTGATTTTTGTCATTAGTTACTTTTAATTGCAATTGCTATTTCAGAGGAAAGGGATCCATACTGAATTTTTCCTTACGCATCTTAGTATGTTTTCCTTGAACATTATTACTCAGATCTATATGTTACCATCTCTTTTATACAGATGGGTTTATTTTTGACCTACATGATAACATAGCTCCAATCAATAACCTAAAGCATATTTTAAATATTATAAAAATAATTTGTCACTGTCAAATAGATAACACTCTTTTTTTTAAAAGATTTATTTATTTATTTTGAGAGAGTGAGAATGAGAGAAAGAGAGAGAGTACATGAGAGGGGGGAGGGTCAGAGGGAGAAGCAGACGCCCCGCTGAGCAGGGAGCCCGATGTGGGACTCGATCCCGGGACTCCAGGATCATGACCTGAGCCGAAGGCAGTCGCTTAACCAACTGAGCCACCCAGGCGCCCAAATAGATAATACTCTTGAATGTAGAGCAATTCAATTCAGTAAATTCACACTTACTCTTGTAGTCTTGTAGATAATTTTGTAAAATTGTCGATTATTAATAATATATTTGGGAGGTGGCTTTTCATTGTATATTTCAAAAGTAGTTATTTCAAATCATGGAGAACATAAAATAACTAGAGGAAAATTCAAATGCTACTCTAAAAATATTTTTCCTATTTTATCCATTTCTATACAGTTAGATTATCTTGTCAACAGTTTTCATGGTTTTTTAAAAAAGGAAAATCTGATGCAAAAAGTTGAATATGGAAATTATGTGGGAAGCAACGCAATCTTCTGTTTTGTTCATACTTTTTGGATAAAAGAGATTTAACAAGTATGAAGGGCATTTGTTTTCTTAGCTCTAGGAGATAACATACAGAAATCATTGGCAAGGTTTCAAATGAAACAAAAGATAGTATTTACACATTCTTGTGTTACCCACTCAAAAAAGAGGTGTTTTCTTTTGGTTTTGCCCCAGTTAAGGAAAGAGAGATTAGTGTGAAAAACCTATGCTGGAGAAGAAATTTTGCAAAGGAAAGCTTTCTTAAGTTGCAGTGTGATTATATGCAGCAGTTTCATCAGTACAACATGCAATTTTGTTCTAGTAAACTCACATTTTACCTACATGTAGCTGCTTTAACTCACAAATGTCTGTCAGAAATGATTTCCTTTGCAATTGTGTGGCTTAGTTCTTCCTTGATTCCTAGTGAGAGATACCTCTACAGTGAAGAAAATGGTTCCTATTTCTTTCTGTAATTGTGCAAATGAAGCTGCTGTAACACATGGGCTTTTTATGCTGGGGTGAGACTATATTGTCTTTGTATATAAAAATACTAAATGGGGCGCCTGGGTGGCTCAGTCAGTTGAGCGTCTGCCTTCGGCTCAGGTCATGATCCCGGGGTCCTGGGATCGAGCCCCGCATCGGGCTCCCGGCTCAGCAGGGAGCCTGCTTCTCCCTCTCCTCCCTGTTCCTGCTCTCTGTCGCTATCTCTGTCTCTTTTCTCTCAAATAAATAAATAAGCAAAATCTTCAAAAAAATGAAAATACTAAATGGAGAGGGAAGAATATTTATAGAACTTCCCTTCCAAAATCACTTTCCCAGCCCTTTTGATAATTAAAAAGAACAGACATCTAAGAATTTAAATCCTAGGTTAATTCCATATACTGTTTCTGTTTTCCAGAGGGTCTATGAAAAACATTTCCCCTCACTTGTATCTGAAGCAAATATATACATAAACAAAGAAATAAAAAACGAGTAATATGCACCTGAAACCAATGTAACATTGTGTATGAACTATACTCAATAAAAAAATTTAAGAATATTAATATCAAGTAATATGATGTTTATATTAGCTTCTATTTCCCCATTTTATTTATTCTCTGGTGACACAGTTTGTGTGCTTTTGATGGGAAGCATCTTAAGATAATATTTCCCATTTTCGCTTTGCTTTAAAAAAAAATAAGGGAGACACTCTTCTGTGATTAGTAGAGGAATTGTCAGAAGGAGGGATTGGGAAATCTGGTGTTCATTGGGGCTTCACAAATTCTCCACTTCTTTGCCTTCCAGACACAGGGGAGGATTTCATTTTTCGGCCCCTTCTGACCACATGACTTGCTTTGACCAATTAATATGTGAGTGAAAGTGGCGTTTGTCGTGTCGAGGTAGAAGCTTTCCTCCTCCCCCTCCTCCTTTTCTTCTTCTTCTCCTTCTCCCCCTCCCCCTCCCCTCCCCCTCCCCCTCCCCTCCTCCTCCTTCTTCTTCCTTATTTAAGTAGGCTCCATGCTAAGCATGGAGCCCATTGCAAGGCTTGAACCCATGACCCTGAGGTGAAAAGTCAGATGCTTAACTAACTGAGCCACCCAGGCACCCCTAGGTAGCATCTAACTGCCGAAGAGGCGCACTGAAGGGAGCTCTCTTCTCAGGAGCAACTGTTGTTTACATCTAGGGGGAGCCCGCATCCTTTAGAGAACCAAGCATAAACCAAGCATTCTTAACAACACAGTGGTCATATAGTGTGAGTGAGAAATAATCCTTTGCAAATGTTAAGCCCCTGAGATGTGGGGATTCTTTGAAACTGCAATCCTGCTGTATATGGAAATTGATCCTAGGAGCAAAGTGTTGCTATAACAGAAGGCTGGAATTTTTATCTTAAGGACTGGACAGTAAATGGCAAAAAAAAAAAAAAAAAAAAAAGAAAAAAGAAAAGAAAAGAAAACCTGATGATAGAAGCTAGAAAAATGGTAATACAGGTGTTATAGTGGCAAAACATTTGGTTAACACTGTGGTCTGTGATTACTTAGATGCTCTAGGAGAACTCTGAAAAACGGAATGTTAGTAATGCGTTGCTGTGAGCTTCGGTGAACAGCGGTCCACTTCCATTCCATTCTGATGCCTTGGGAGGATTTTCTTTTATTTTTTATTGTTGGGGTAATTAGTATCTTTATATTTTAAAAGCTATTTTATCTAGTGCTATAATGGTTTGGGTGGACATCTCTTGATCATGATTATCTTAATCTTTAACTGGGGTTGCTGCTGTTTGTCCTGTTTTGAAGATCATGGTCATTAGCAAAGTCTAACAAAACTGTTTAGCTTTCGCCAGACAAGGGTTAATCAAGAAATGATTATTATCTTAATATACATGGCCTGGGAAAGTAACATGATAATCATCAAATAACAATCAAATATAAAAGTAATAAGAAAGACCCAAGA